TTGAAATTGTTGGAAAGGGTTTAGAATTATAACTAAACTTTTTTTTGCGTCTGGTTTTGGTATGGGATGCTGAGAACACACTCGAAAGAAGATTATCAAAGTCTTACTGTCGCTTCCTTGCCACCCGTACCAACTCTCTGTCATCTTTGCCATCTTACTTCCATCATTATTATCACCCAACATTCACTGCCATCTCTTCAACGCAATTACTTTCCCCCTGTCATATCTGTCATCTCTGTATCACTACTACCATGTTTCTGCCACCCCTCAGCCCGTCCTCCTTTGGTTTCCTAGCGTCAAGAAACTGTCGTACTCAAGTGCCCTTTTCCTAACCTACCAGAGGAGCCAAAACCGAAAACGGGACAGTATGTCAATTTCGCGAGAATTCTCTAATACGACAATTTTTGACCTTAGGTAGAGTATACGTCAAAATACGGCGTTCTATTAGAAGGACGGGTTGGTGCCCCTACCCTCTCTCTGCAACAGCAATCCTATCCCATTCACCACTACCATCTATTTACCACTACCATTTCCCTGCCACCGCATCCATCTTCCTGATAATACAATAATTTCCCTGCTTCACCTTTCACAAGACAATTGTCAATCCAACTACCATTATCTCCCTATTACCATTCAGCCCCCCCCCCCCACACAGCACCACCCTCCGTACTCCCAACTCACCCTTAAGAGCCCACAGATAAAAGTCAATTCAACATCAACTCCACTCACAAAAATGAAGGAAATACGTGTATCGACTCTGTTATAAAAATTAAAAAACAAGAGTGTTTGTATGTGCCATGGAAACACTGTCTATTCCTTTCTCCCTTTCATTAACCTTTGTGCTCTGGAAATGGTGTTCATTCCTCCCCTTTTCCTAGCCCGTTTATACTGGAAAAGTTGTTTATTTCCTAACTCGCTTCATGTGCTGGAAACGGTGTCCATTCCTCCCCATTTCCTCTAATACATGAATACTATGAACATTGTCCTTTACTGCAGGCGATGAGTCACAATAGCGTGGCTAAAGTAAGTTGACCAGACCACACACTAGAAGGTAAAGGGACGACGACGTTTCGGTCCGTCCTGTACCATTCTCAAGTCGAATGGTCCAGGACGGACCGAAACGTCGTCGTCCCTTCATCTTCTAGTGTGTGGTCTGGTCAACAAATTGTCCTTTACTCATTTCCCCATCTTCATTTGCGAATTGTGAATGAATGCATGGACTCAGAGTTGAACAAATGAACACACTGGGTCCAAATATACACTCCTACCGGTACACACTATATTAGCCTGGTGCAAAACAATAATAAGTAAGACAACGGGATATTGTCTTTCAGATTTATAAATTTTAAATCAGAAGTCCTTGGTAGACTACATATATCATGACATATGTTCCGTTTATATTTTATGCTTGAATAGTTATGCAATTTTGAGGCATATTTAGTTTTTTCGTTTTATTTTTAAATCGTTGCTAATAAATTTGGCTGCAAAACCGGCAGCAATGGTGTGTCCGGGAACGAAATATGTTCCCATAAAAGTGGGTAATTGTGGTGTATTTGCCAGGTATATGAACTCAGTCAGAGTACCGTGTCATCTCTTGTCCTTGTACATTTATCATTATTATTCTCAAGACAAATGTGCTTTTTATGTGCTTTTAAATGTGCTCAAGACATATTTGCAGCTTCTGCATGCGTGGATCTTAGCGTAGGGCAACGAGCGTAATCTGTGCGTCAACGAGTGAGAATGAGGCGTATGGGTAACCATGCGGCCCGTCCATTTAATTAATTCATCTCATTTCATACGTTTTGGACACCCAACCGTACAAATTACAGAGTACTATGAACAGTAGCGGCTAACAAATATTCACGTTTTCTATGCATCGTTAGGTCAGGTTTGGGAGGTTGTTTGGGTTTATTTGAATTCGTACGTTGTATTTTGTACGCTGTAGCAAATTTAAGAGAACGGGCAGGACCATAGGGAGTTTTCAACTTGTTCTGAAACTTGATGCACCTGAGCTTGAAATGCTATCTACTGCAACGTCCAAATTTCGTTGTATTAAGTGGAATATGAGCAACTCGATTTGTACGCATTTTAGGACTAGATAAGCATTGGCCTCGAGGTGTGCTTGTCTTTGCTCGTGTGATTGAGGTCAAGCAATACTACAAGAGTCTACAAATAAGACTCTTGTCAAGTTGCGAACACGGGCTGGGGCTTGTCAATATATTTCTTTCGTCCACTCACGCAAATTATTTATTAATAAAATGCTGGCTTAAACTGATCAGATTAAGAAATGATCAGAAGCTGGACAGCTGATTAGAAGCTGAAGAGTTGATTAGAAGCTGCACAGTTGATTGGAAGCTGGACTGCTGATTAGAATCTGGGCAGGTGATCAGAAGCTGTTATACAATCCTGATCACGACGTATGACGACTTCCACTAATCATTTTTCAATACTGAAGATATTAAGTAATGTTACGCCTTAGTGCCTCCTCGCTGGATTATATATTTAAGGTAAACGGAGACATTCTCTTAGAAAAAAATGACTAAATAGCACGTGGATGGGATCGAACTGCAGACTAGCATCTGGGTATGAAATAACAGACTGGTTCCAAACATCTTATACCATCGGAGATCGAGCCCCCTTCACGGCAAGAAGAGAGGCCTTCGCTCTACCGTCAGGTCCAAGTGGACATACATAACATGTAAATAAGAATTAAAAAGTCAGCATTCCTCTGCCTGCTAACGGCCAGCATCAACTCCTGGTGGGATGCCCTTCAATTCTTTAAAGAGCAACAAGACAGTTGACATGGCTAAAAGTCGTGTGTGGAAGGGGGTGTGAGGGACATTGTGGAAGGGGGTGTGAGGGACATTGTAGAAGGGCATCAATCACCAGCTGGAAGACGTTGATTGACGCATTATGCAGGGCGGAATATTTTTTTTTACACCATATAAACATATACGATTATATATTTTTTGCACCATATAAACATATATGTTTAGGCATTTTTTACACCATATAAACATATATGATTATATATATTTTGCACCATATAAACATATATGATTAGGCATTTTTTACACCATATAAACATATACGATTAGATTATTTTTTCATCATATAAACAAACCCCAACAAAAAAATATTAAGCAAAATATATATGACAGCTGGGAAATCATCAGTTTTTATGAGCCTTGATAATAAAATCCCGAAAGATATAAATTATAATAAAAAGCTAAACAGGTACTAAGAAACAAAACGAAAATTTAAACTATATAAAAATTTAACCATCTGTAAGTTTACAAGCGGAAGTATTGAGTCAAAGACTCTCCTCACAGCTCCAGAAATGGAAATACATCTGTCGTGAGAAGAGATGTTCGCATCTTAAGAATTCTAATGCCACGCATGAAATAAACATGGCTGGTGGCATAATGATTAGGGTCGCCTGGTTGCAAAATATCAACTCCTTTCATTCACAAGTAGCTTGGGGTCTTAAGCAAATTTTCTGCCATGAATCCATGCTGTGAGAGAAAGCTGCCTCTATAAGTGAGCTGGATCTTAAGATATGCATTGCTACATAGTCTTCTGAACTTGGAGTCTTCTTTCAATAACTTCTTACGATATGAATTTGATTTTCTGTAAGACGAGCGTTTAATTGTGATGATACTATTTTTTTCCACATTCTATTATTAAGCTATTGCACTGAATTTAAAATCAAATTATTGCATCAATCGCCTTTTTTCTATAGATGAAGTAATTATTGCTATTTGGTACAATTATTTACAATGCTATAACTTTTGCAAGTACTATTGCAGCTGTAATTATTCTTGTATTGCTATCAGCAAAGGTACATTTATTGCATGAAGGTAGGTAGGTAGCAAGGTAGATACATACGTAGATAGATGGGTAGGTAGGTAGGATGATACGTAGATAGGTAAACAGAGGTTTGGGTAAGCACGTTGGTAGTTTTTGCTAAGTAGACAAGTTTGGGATTTTGTTGTAGGTAGATTGGTGGGTAAGAAGGTAGACTGATGGGTCGGTTGACAAATAGGTTGGCGGGTGGGTCGATTGGCAGGTAGATAGGTTACTGGGAAAATCATGCATTGTGAAATATGATAAAGACTGGACTGTATATCAAAGAAATGGATCTGTATGTCATTCAATGCTGAAAGTGATGGTCAATAATATTATGGTCAATAATACGATTGATTCAGCACCTTTCGGTCTACACCAGTGGTTCTTAACCGGGAGTACTGATATCCTTGGTAGTGTATTGAAATCAATAATGGTGTTTGAGACACGGTTTCCGAACACTTTAAAAAAAAATATTGCTCAATGACAATATGATTAGATCCATATGATTTTGTTTATCTGATCTGTTCCTAGCTGTTCATATGTTAAAAGCAATCTATTGACATCTTTTGAAGCCATACTGGTATCTAATAAGACTAGTGATTTCGTCAGTATATCGAAGGGAGATAACGGTACATATCAGGTACACGACTGATACCGTAAAATGGCCTAGAATCCCTGGTTCAGATGGTTGAAGATACATGAGACGAGACAGAAAATTACAGAAAGAAAGAGAATGCGTAATGTCGACGAATCAACCAGTTAATTATGTAAATCTCACAAATGACAGTTCAGCCCCGTCCCTTGTCTCACACTCGTCAAATCAGCATGTGCAGCGTGAGTGTAGACGAGGTGTGCCTTGCTTCCTGTCCTATATCATTCATCCGATCCCGTGATATAGCAAGATTTGTATCGTCTTATATTAAGAGGATTGCCAAGAGCTTGGAAACTTAAGCAGGAGCGCTCGGCCTCGCGTAGGGCACCTAAGGTCGCTGCAGTGAACGTTGATATCTAGGCTGGGATTTTATGTGAGACTTTAATATGTGATATCTGTTTCAAGGAAGACAAAAAGAGATACACACACACACGTGTGCTTTAATCTTTCTAAGTTTAATGTGTGCGCTTCTGAAAAGTTACGCTTTTAAGGTCACTTATTAAGCTTTGTTATCTTCGTCTTCTGAACGCAATTTGGTAGTTGCTGAGTGTTTATCTCTAACACTTCCATCAACGATGACATGAAGAAGCAATGATGATTCCAGTAGAGTACATGTCTCCGACACGTTCATCAATGATGATGTGAAGAAGCATATTGATGACCCAGTGAGAACAAGTCCATATAACTAGCGCAACAAGAAAAAATTAAGACCCTAATTACCACAAGGTGCTGAATTAGTATGGTACACTGTATAGACGTAGGTGGACCTACTCGATGCGTAATGTTTCTATAAATTAGTATTCTCATCAGACTATAAACTTTTGAGACCTATTTCTCACCTTTGAGAATCATTCACTGATCAAACCCATTGTGCATAACTTCTAAGGCTAATTTACTTAGCTTAATTTACTTAGTTTATGCTTGTTAATGAGTGAAAAATACTTTTCACACAACCCATCCTCATAAACGATTAGCTAAGTCTTTCTCTTTCGAATTAATCTCACAAACAATTTCATGTATTCTGGTCCACGAGAATCATTCCGGTGGCAGCGGACCTCAGAACTTACGATTGGTTAAAAGCCTTTTTAAAAGCCTTTTAAGGATTTGTTTTAACAAATTTCTTAATTGTATTACTGATCAATCTACAATTTTACGTCTTATTTCCTTTGGCAAATCTTTACATTTCACGGCTCAATTCAGATTATTCTTGAGTATATTTTATCGGTGTATTTAGGTACTTGTGTGTACGTTTCTCGCTCCATACGAAAGTACACAATCTTTAACAATCTTAAACTTTAACTTTTTTTTTACATCAAAGGTACCAAAAGGTGACGAAACTTTTTTCATATAAGTTATAATAATTCTCTCTCTCTCTCTCTCTCTCTCTCTCTCTCTCTCTCTCTCTCTCTCTCTCTCTCTCTCTCTCTCTCTCTCTCTCTCTCTCTCTCTCTCTCTCTCTCTCTCTCTCTCTCTCTCTCTCTCTCTCTCTCTCTCTCTCTCTCTCTCTCTCTCTCTCTCTCTCTCTCTCTCTCTCTCTCTCTCTCTCTCTCTCTCTCTCTCTCTCTCTCTCTCTCTCTCTCTCTCTCTATATATATATATATATATATATATATATATATATATATATATATATATATATATATATATATATATATATATATATATATATATATATATAATATATATATTATATATATATGTAAATATATTTTCATATAACGTATTTTCTCCTTGCTACGAATAAATTATATTTTAAAATGTTAATTATTCTTTGGGTAGGAGGATATACCTGGTTACACTTTGGCATTAAACTTTAAATACACACTTCAATGTTAGTAAGAATTCGAGAGCTTAAATCACTGGTTTTGATGAAGTAATGCTTAGTTTAAACAGAATAAAAGAGGATTTTGTGTAAAAGTTCTGAAGTTTGGTGTGCTAGCGTTGCTCACGAGGGCGGAATAATTACTTACGGGAATCGAGTACAATAAACTTTCCGTTAAGAGAGAAGTTCATTGGGTGAGGTTTGATGCTTCGAATGTGTTTTGAAAAAAAAAAATCCAAAAAACATAGAAATTACAGGTTTATGTGTAGGTTTTCTTGTATGCTTGTATGTAGTGAGACGTGTGTATTTTGTATGTTGCGTCTTGTGGGTATTAGTGTGTCGTGTGTATTTGTGTGTAGTATGATGAGGGTAGTAGTCCTATGTATATGTGTATGTAGTGTATAGTGTTTGTTTGTGTGTAGTGAGTATTTTTAAAATGCGTATTATTGTAGTAAATATTGCACGTAATATTGCAAGTGTATTTGCTAATAGTGTCTTGAGTATTTGCGTGTACGGTGGCATTTTTAGGTGCAGTACGTCATATAAAGTTGCATATACTGCGATGCATTTTGGTTTAGCGTCCTATGAGCATTTGCGCTAAGTGTGGCTTGTGTTTTCTGTGTCATGTGGCGTGAGCACTCTAACATTGAACATGTCCATACTACGAGAATGGAAGCTAGAAAGGTGCCTATGAGCCCACTCGATTTTTAACATAATGTTGATAAATATAGGAAACCAGTAAACCATGACTAGACGTCTGAATATGAATCTGTGACGATGTGAAAAGTAAAGAATGACTGTAAAGAAGGAGTGAAAATTGACAATTATTTTTCCTATAAACTTACATTATTGTAGAAGCTCTTTGTTGATGTTGTTGGTGGCCAGCCAGGTGAAAGTGGTGACTCCTGGCTGCAATAATTCTATATATATAGCCTGCATAAATTAAAAAAATATTATCAGTATTTGAAGTAATCGTTTTCATTTTAATTATGGGTTGATTGGGTCGGGATGATGCGAGTCATTTCCATTTTCTAGCAGGTTGCTCAAGAGTCTCGACCTTTGGACTTTAGATTTGGAAATATATCTTTTTGACCATTTATTGATGTGTCATATTTGGAATTCATAGCCAGCGGGGTTACTGATGACGAATCGATTCCCTATAACTGGGATGTAAATCTCTTTCAACCAGCATGGGAGACGTTAGGCTAGACTGAGTAGTCTTCGTTTCGGGGAAGTTTAGTGTTAAAGGTTAAGTTCAGGAGTTCAGTTGTGACTTTCGCTTACAAGGGCCATTAATTGTAATCCGGTGGACCTGTTTTACAGACACCTTCCTCTTGGATTCTTTTGCAAGTCTTTACTCCGAATTAACAACATGTGTACAGGCACAAAAAGATTGAAAGATTGTGGAAAGTCTAACTGAATATTGAAGGGTGGGCATATACGTAGAATTGTTGATAACGTTAACGCTGTAACTCCCATGATAGTGTCCAAGACGTTGATGTTGTACCACATATGATACAGTATAAGACAAAGACTCTGTACCACATATGATACGGTCCACAAGTTGGAAGTTGAGGCTGAGGAGGTTCCTGAGCAATAGAAGGCAGACAATCACGGTGACGACAGAACTCTCAAGGTGGAGTCAAGTGACAAGGGAAGATCCTCAAGGTATCGCCGGCATCAACGAACCAGATCGCCAACATTAACGAACCAGATCGACAGCATCAACAAACCAGTTCACCATCATGCAAAAAATGTGGTGTTATTTGTATTTTTCAGATATTCTGACTCCATGTCGCTTTAATTTCCAATATCCCTTTTTTTGGTGCATTCGCTTTCAGCCTCTGTTCTGTCTCGCTCAAGAGAGCTCGTTCGCAGCTACGTCGTTTGTAATACAATTAAATGTGATTCTTTTTTACTCTATCACGTTTTCTTGTTTCCATTTTCTATGTGAGCTTTGATGTTTTTTGAGAATGATTTCTTTTGTCAGAGAAGGTATTTGCTTATTTAGAATCTTATTATTGTGTTTGTTTCAATGTATATATCTATATAATTTTTTTTTATATATACGTATCATGCTATTTTAAAGAGCATATTACGTTATTATATCAGAAAATGTGACGTGATTCAGACCATATATGAAGTTTAACGATGAAGAGATCATGCTATTTTGTAATTAACGTTACATATAATGTCCTGTTAGAAGCAACTTGAAGATGCATTAACCTCTGTCCACTGACTGATTTTAGAGTACGAGTGTTACAGTTTCATTACTCCAGGTTCAACTTTGTTTCCAGACATCAGGAGTAATAAGAACTTTAGGGAGCATTTTTATTTTTAATTGTACATTTTTCAACTGACTGTCTGATGACTGGAAACATGTGGGGAGCAGTAGAGGCTTGTGGGGAACAGTGGAGGCTTGTGGAGAACAGTGGGGGCATGTGGGGGACAGTGGAGGCTTGTGGAGAACAGTGGAGGCTTGTGGAGAACAGTGGAGGCTTGTGGAGAACAGTGGGGGCATGTGGGGGACAGTGGAGGCTTGTGGAGAACAGTGGAGGCTTGTGGAGAACAGTGGAGGCTTGTGGAGAACAGTGGAGGCTTGTGGAGAACAGTGGAGGCTTGTGGGGAGCAGTGAAGGCTTGTGGGGAACAGTGGAGGCTTGTGGAGAACAGTGGAGGCTTGTGGAGAACAGTGGAGGCTTGTGGAGAATAGTGGAGGCTTGTGGGGGAACAGTGGAGGCTTGTGGAGAACAGTGGAGGCTTGTGGGGGAACAGTGGAGGCTTGTGGGGGAACAGTGGAGACTTGTGGGGAGCAGTGAAGGCTTGTGGGGAACAGTGGAGGCTTGTGGAGAACAGTGGAGGCTTGTGGAGAACAGTGGAGGCTTGTGGAGAACAGTGGAGGCTTGTGGGGGAACAGTGGAGACTTGTGGAGAACAGTGGAGGCTTGTGGGGGAACAGTGGAGGCTTGTGGGAGAACAGTGGAGGCTTGTGGGGGAACAGTGGAGGCTTGTGGGAGAACAGTGGAGGCTTGTGGGGGAACAGTGGAGGCTTGTGGGGGACAGTGGAGGCTTGTGGGGGACAGTGGAGGCTTGTGGGGGACAGTGGAGGCTTGTGGGAGAACAGTGGAGGCTTGTAGGGGAACAGTGGAGGATTGTGGGGAACAGTGGAGGCTTGTGGGAGAACAGTGGAGGCTTGTGTGGAAACAGTGGAGGCTTGTGTGGAACAGTGGAGGATTGTGGGGGAACGGTGGAGGCTCACAGGAAGGGGTAGAGGTTCGAGGGTGGCTGTGACTCTGGTCACAGCCACACGCGTCACAGTCATTGTAATTTTCTTTTTTTTTATATATTTTTTAAGGCATTTCTTCACCATTAATTATTATCTCCTCTGAGCGTGTATTAGTAATTATGAAAACGGGTTCAATATTATACAGAAACTTTGTCATATTCTGATGGATTTTTCCTTTCCCGTTTTAAGGGAACAGTTGCTTAACATGATAACTTTCCTTGTCTTGAAGATTATGCCAAAACTTTGCTGTAACTACCTCCCTCGTTAACTTATCTCTCCTCACTACCACCTTCGTAATGCGAGACTCACAAGTTAATTTATAAATTATTTGCGAAAGTTGCGAAATATATATAACCTAACACCTCAAGTTTTTTTGGTTCCTGAGTAAAACCTGAGTAAAAAGTAATTAATAATAAAATAAAAAATTATTGATATTTTGATCCGAACAGGTAATGATATATTAGGCATACCTTGCAATGAGACACCATTTGGATCAGACTTTTCTCCGCTCTCTAAGAAAGACTAGAAAAGGAACAGTATTGTCAGAAGGATTTTATATAGACGCTACAGGCTGACGGCCTCACAAAAGGTCCTTGTAAGTCGCCTGTCAGCATACAGCATACTTACTTGGGTCTTTTGTTGATATTCTTGTTTCTTCGGTCGTCTACTGTGCATTGTCTCGTTATCTTTCTTCACATTCCCTAGTTCTCATTCTTCACATTACCCAGTTCTCCTCCCCGTGTCTCATTCTCCTTCACACTCCCGCATTCTCCTGCTCTGCGCCGTGAACATGCTGCCAAACCGGTGTTACAGATATTGTTCATGAGCCCGCGAGCTCCAGCGAAGCTCTAACGAGATGGTGCACTTTCCTCGTGGAATCTGGGACTTCGGCTCATAAGGATTTCGCAATTTTCTGGATGAATGAAAACGAGTTAGTTTTTGACCACGGTAGTGTTGCGCTGTCTCTATAGTGTTGCCTGGTTGCTTATGGTACACTGTCTCTTTAGTGTTGCAAGCCTACTTAAACTACACTGTCTCCGTAGTGTTGCCCGCCTACTTATACCACACTGTCTCGGAGTCAGTTTGTGTTGATATTTTGTTAATCATTATTTTCTCTGCTTGTGTGAAACTTGAAACTTGAAGAGGACCGTGTTGATAGGACTGTTTATTTATTTAAAAACCTCTTTCGTGAGGTTTTACAAAGCCAATATATATTCTGGTTCTCTGTCGTCTATGTTGGCTCCCTTCAGACTATTGTGTTTTACTTCAGACTATTGTGACTCACTTCAGACTATTGTGTCTTACTTCAGACTATTATGTCTCACTTCAGACTATTGTGTTTTGCTTCTGACTATTGTGACTCACTTCAGACTATTGTGTTTTGCTTCAGACTATTGTGACTCACTTCAGACTATTGTGTCTCACTTCAGACTATTATGTCTCACTTCAGACTATTGTGTCTCACTTCAGACTATTGTGACTCACTTCAGACTATTATGTCTCACTTCAGACTATTATGTCTCACTTCAGACTATTATGTCTCCCTTCAGACTATTATGTCTCACTTCAGACTATTATGTCTCCCTTCAGACTATTATGTCTCACTTCAGACTATTGTGTCTCACTTCAGACTATTGTGACTCACTTCAGACTATTGTGTCTCACTTCAGACTATTATGTTTCAGTTATGATTGTACTTTGGATCACTTTATATTGTACTAGTTCACTTTATATTATTCTAGTTCACTTTAAATTGTTCTAGTTCACTTTAAATTGTTCTAGTTCACTTTAAATTGTGTTTTGGCTTATTTTTGCCTTCTCTTGAATCACCCTTAATTGGACTCTGAAATTTTTATTGTGTTCTTTTTTTCTTTGACTTTCTACTGTGTTCTGGTTGAATGTTAGTGTTACTGTAGTGGAGTTTGTAATGGTTTTGTGATTGACATTTAGTCAAATTTTTAGTCTAATTCTGGTTGACTTTTATTCTTATTCTGGTTGAAGTTTAGTCGTGTTCTGGCTCACGTTTTGCTCACTTTTTGTTTATTAACCTCCGGGGCTCCCCGTCCCCCGATACCCCCACAGTACGAGTCACCCGCTCAATCTCCAGCTATTAAAAAAAAAGGAACGCGATCTCTCGCAACCATTGCTGTATTAGATTATTTTTTCATTTCCATCTCCCGATTTTTTTTTTACTTGTTCTCTTTCCCTGCTCCCCTGTGTGTCTTCCTGTTGTGTCGTGGTCACTGTTAACTTGATCATCCATGTTTGTACAAGTGTCATTTCCGACGGTGTAACAGAGTGTCTCCACCTGTGAATGATATTTCTGTGTTATAGATACTCCTGTGTTATAGATACTATAGATGCCACAGATACTCCTGTGTTATAGATACTATAGATGCCACAGATACTCCTGTGTTATAGTTAGTATAGATGCCTTAGATACTCCTGTGTTAAAGATACTATAGATGCCATAGACACTCCTACCTGAGTGTCTATGGCACGTTTATGGTTGTGTTGATGTGGTCGGGTCAACACAGTTAGGTCACCAATCCACATACGGCAAAGCAACACATATCCACCAAACATAGAGGCAGTCACTCACAATCATCAGTACAACTATTGAGCTAATTCTCGGTAGTGCTAATCGCAACAAATAATCACAGAACATACAGAAGGAAGCTTGCCTCTCTCTCTCTTCCTGGTTGTGCATTTTGGTTGGATAATTTCTTTCGTATTTCCTACCATATCTAATGAGTAACTGGCAAGTGGAAACCTTAATTTATTGAAGACTGTATTGAAGTGTGTAACTGATATACTAATTAATAATTATTTCATCAGTCAATAAATAATAAATATGATTTAGTTTTGCAATTAATGTGAAGAGCATTGTCATATTTTTTTTGTAAAATATGTGAGAAAATTACAACAATTTATTTATTACAGGTTATATGCTTGAATCATATTCCGCCCTGGTATGAACTTTAATTAAAAATATATTATTATTATATTTCCTCGTAAGAACACAAGAGGTTATTTTACCATATCTAATTGAAGTTAGAAAACGTATCACAGACACCAAACACATTTATTTTAACGGTCTCCTAATCATCCTGTGGAATTCAGTTTGTTATTTTTATAAACACCAATTATTAATTGGAAAAAAATATTTATTAGTATATCTTTACATGAAGACTTATATTTTGTTGTTTATCATATCTTTGTTAATGCTTGTCTGTATGCCTGTCCATCTGTCCGAGAAAAGAGAGAGAGAGAGAGAGAGAGAGAGAGAGAGAGAGAGAGAGAGAGAGAGAGAGAGAGAGAGAGAGAGAGAGAGAGAGAGAGAGAGAGAGAGAGAGAGAGAGAGAGAGAGAGAGAGAGAGAGAGAGAGAGAGAGAGAGAGAGAGAGAGAGAGAGAGAGAGAGAGAGAGAGAGAGAGAGAGAGAGAGAGAGAGAGAGAGAGAGAGAGAGAGAGAGAGAGAGAGAGAGAGAGAGAGAGAGAGAGAGAGAGAGAGAGAGAGAGAGAGAGAGAGAGAGAGAGAGAGAGAGAGACAGAATGTGTGTGTGTGTGTGTGTAAAACCTCCAACTTCATCTTTCTATCTAATATGATTTTTTTTTTTTGAGATATATACAAGAGTTGTTACATTCTTGTAGAGCCACTAGTACGCGTAGCGTTTCGGGCAGGTCCCTGGAATACGATCCCCGCCGCGAAGAATCGTTTTTTCATCCAAGTACACATTTTACTGTTGCGTTAAACAGAGGCTACAGTTAAGGAATTGCGCCCAGTAAATCATCCCCGGCCAGGATACGAACCCATGACATAGCGCTCGCGGAACGCCAGGCGAGTGTCGAGTGTCGTATTTCGGGTTAATATTAAATATAGCATATACCAAATAATAATAATAATAATAATTTTATCATATAGAAAAACATCGAATTACTATTCATATGTTTGTTTACGCAGAATTCTAACAACCTTTGCAATTCAGGTTTGGCTGTAATATTGAGCGAATCAACCAGAATCAACTTCTGGTTGATTGGCGACCCACACTCATCAGCTAGTATGCATATTTGCACTCATAAAGACGTGTTCGCGCGAGGGAGGGAGGAAGTCAATTATCAAGAGGGAAAGCTCCAAGCCATTATGACTATATAGAACTTAAATATCGACCTGCATAAATATATAGAAAGATTAAATATCGACCAGCATAAAGCGGTGCCTGTCGCTCTACCATCCAGCCCAAGTGGTTGGGCACCATTCCTTTCCCCGGTCCCATCCCAAATCCTAATCCTGACCCCTTCCCAGTGCTATATAGTCATAATAACTTAGCGCTTTCCCTCCTGATATTTCACTCCCTCCCTCGCGAGTGAATGTCATTATGAGTGCAAATATACATAGTGATATACATATACAAACTCACGAGTGTGGGGCGTGAATCAACCAGATGTTAGCCCTCGAGAGTGGCGTTGTGCGGAAGGTGAAATCCCTTCTCATCACCTTGGGCTGAAGTCAGATTTTTCACCTGAGTGAATCCTGATTTAGCTTTCAACTCTAGCTCATAATCCCAAGGAAGGAGTAGTGGGGGAGAGTGATTCTGAGTTCAGGAGGAGGGAGGCGGAGGGAGAAAGGGAGGGAGTTAGGATAGAAGAGTTAGGAGAGTCAGGTAGAGAGAGAGAGAGAGAGAGAGAGAGAGAGAGAGAGAGAGAGAGAGAGAGAGAGAGAGAGAGAGAGAGATAGAGAGAGAGGAGGGCAGTGATAGGAAGGTATGGGTTGAGGGATGGAAAGTAAGAAACAAAGAGGGAAGGATAAATGAACAGAGGGAAGAAATGATAAATGAATAGAGGAACGTAAGTTGAAAAGTATAAAAAGGAGGAAAGGTGGAAAAGAGAGATGAATATATGGATATATGGAAGTAGGGCTAGATGACGCTAGACAAAATAAAGTATAAATAATATAAAGAGATAAATGGTGAGCAATAACAAATAACATACCATAATTTACATGTAATAATATTACCCACAAATTTAAATCATAATTAGCCATTCAAGTGTCAGGTTTCAAGAGCAATTAAGAACTTTCGAATATTACGAAACAAACATTCAATTAAAACGCTTCATTAACCGGTTTCCAATTTAACAACTACAACAATAACCGGACACTATAGCAAATTTCCGCCATATTGGGATACTAACTCTCCACTAGGTAAAAAACAAATGTCATAATTTTTTCTCCGTCGCTTAAACAAATAAATGTAAATGGACCCATTGTTTTTGCGAGCAGGAGAGATAATTTTCCAGTTATATAGAACTTTTAACTTCTAAATCATTTTCTAGTTCTACAGAATTTATTACGTAAGTAAATAACATTGCAGTTCTGTGGTATTTGTTATCAGTTAATGGTATAGTTTATACCAATTAATGGTATCAATTCCAGTTTTATATAATTCATTGAAAATAAATAATGGTTCATGTGTGGTTAATATTCATCATGAATTGAATTTAAGCAACCACAGAGCTGCTCATTCGGATATTCGTAGATAATTGAAAAACTGAGGTGAAGCGAGAATTGTTATCTCGTCGAGAATGGGCATATGTTTAGTGCATTTGTTAAACGACCATTTGTTAAACGCCCATTTGTTAAACGTGCATTTGTTAAACGTGCATTTGTTAAACGTTTAAACAGTGACGTTTAACAAATACACGACAAATGCCGTGCATTTGTTAAACGTCCATTTATTAAACGTCCATTTGTTAAATGTGCATATGTTAAACGATGAGCTGAAGTCAAGGATGAGCTAACACTTGCAGCAGCATCTAATTAAGTATGAGCTGCAACTTGTAGCAGCGTCTGGGCGAGGATGAACTAATACTCCAACAACACCTGGTAGAGGTAGTATTTAGTCGAAGATGACTTGATACTGGAGTGCCGATGGCTCAAGGATGAGTTTGTATTGAATCACATTGTGATAGAGAATTATTTAGTCGCAGATGAGTTGGTGTTGAAAGGTAATATATCATGATGAATGAGCAGGTGCTGGAACACCACCTGTCACCAGCTGAGCTGTTACAAAGGGGATACAAGTTCCTTGTGAGAGGCTGAGCAGCAGGGAGCGAGACGATGCTGACTCCACTTCCTCTTGGACGTGGGTGTCTGATCTTTGATGTTTCATGTCTCCGGATCCGTCGCTACTCCTCCCTTTCACGCACATACGTGGGCTCGAGGTGTGCTCCAGTGGAGGTCCACCTCATTAAGTCCTCCGCTTCGTAGAAGGGGAAGGGTGGCAGGGTATTCACCTAATTATACTTACGGGGTTTGAGCTTCAGCTCTTTGGTCCCCGCCTCTCAACTGTCAATTAACTGGAGTACAGATTCCTGAGCCTATTGGGGGGTGTTTTATATTAACATTTGAAAGTGTTTATGAAGTCCGCCTCCACCACATCACTGCATAGTGCATTCTATTTGTTATTCAACTCTAAAATCAAAAATGTTTTTTCTAGTGTCACTGTGGCTCATTTGGTTAAACATTTTCAACCTGTGTCCCCTTGTTCGTGTACCACCTGTGTTAAATAAACAGTTCCCCTGAGAATCTTGTAGCCTGTGTGTGTGTGTGTGTGTGTGTGTACTAACCTAGTTGTGTCTGCAGCATCGAGCATTGACTCTTGGATCCCGCCTTGGATCTCTTTGTGTGTATGTGTATGTGTGTGTGTGTGTGGATGTGTGTGTGTGTGTGTATGTGTGTTTGAGTGTGTGTGTGTGTGTGTGTGTGTGTGTGTGTGTGTGTGTGTGTGTGTGTGTGTGTGTGTGTGTGTGTGTGTGTGTGTGTGTGTGTGTGTGTGTGTGTGTATTTGTACCAAATTCCCGGTACCAATAGCCTCAATAGGGCCACGTTATATTAGCTGAAGTTACCTGATTAAATTCAGTCAGTGAAAATATGCCAGAAAGAGATACTCAGATCAGTTAGATGGAAACAACCGGCTTTTGAGAGTAGCTGGGACTGATTTCTGTTAACAATGCATTTCATTCTAGTTCCCAGAGTAATAGAAAGAGGAATTAGAGTGTGTTGCTATTATTTGAAAGGCATTCAACCAGCATGCTATGAACGGTGTTGCAACTAGTGAATAAGGAGAAATAGTGCTGTTCTGTGAAGATATTTGCAGGGTTAAGGATTTCCTCATTTTACATATGCCTCTTGACTTTACCACACACTAGAAGGTGAAGGGACGACGACGTTTCGGTCTGTCCTGGACCATTCTCAAGTCGATTGTGTCGACGTAAGACGTTAGGCGTCTTACATATGCCTCTTCACGTTTAGAAGGAAATTGAATGATGGGCAGCGCCATCTCTACGAGACAATCTTGAGATGTTACACCACGTTTCGTAATATCGTCAGTTACTTGAAAAGTGCACCAATGATCGGCATATTGAATCGTCATACTTTGTAAAAGGAAATAATTCCCACAAGATGATAAAGGATAGAAAATTATGTAATATTGATTCAGTGTCATGGAATGCAACTGCTGGATCTGATCCAGATTCGTCATAGATACATGATTGATCT